ACCATGCTGCCTTTCTAGATCATCTACCAGGGGTGGGAAACATGCAGCCTTGAGGCTGAAGGTTCCTCATCCCTGGGCCTGACTTCTAACTCAATGCATGAATCTTTGCTATGTTGCATGCTTGTGATGTGGTTATTATATTCTCCTTACAGATCTCCAGTGATGGGGAGCTCACTATCTCAAAAGCACACATCTCTTTTCTTTCTTGGACAACTCCAGTTGTTAAAATATCTTTATGATGAGCTGAAATTCACTTAATATTGGTGATAGTTGTTCCTTGTCAGACTAGGACAAAGAAGTCCAGTTTATTGGGAACATATGGACATAGTTATCATTAACATCCTTGTAGCACTTTAATGTTTATAAAATTCTTTACCTGCATGATTTCATGTCAGCTTTAAAACCAACCTGAGAGAATGACCATGTGTTATTATTATCCTCATCTTATAGATATGCAAACTGAGATTTGAAGAAGTTGAGTGATTTGTTCATGATCACATAACTAGTATGTGTTAAAGGCAGAATTTGAATCTATCTCTTCTTGAAATAGAAATAATTCTAGTCCAAAATCAGAAAACCTTGTTTCAAGTCCTAGCTATGTGATTTAGGGTAAGTTATTTTACTTCTGTAAGTTGTTTCCTCTTTAATAAAATGGGGATAAAACTTGGACTACCTGCCACACAGGGTTGCTAAAAGGACCAATGAGGAAATTCATGTCAAAGGCTTTTTAACCACAAAGTGCTATGTAAATATCAATGATTATTGTAATATTACTCCTACATGGGTGATATTAATCAAAATATTATAGCAAGAAGTATCACAGAAATAAAAACAACACTAATATGACCTTTTCCCCAGCCAATTTGTAATTCTGCTCTAAATGTATTGATGCAATTGCCAAGCATTTTCCTTTCTTAACTTACTTTTGGAAGAAAAACAAAAAAAGAAAAGAGAACCTTTATTTGAATACATTTTTAAGTGATTGAAAGGTGAAAATCATTAGTTCCTTTTGGACTTCATAGTAGAGGTCTTGTCTTGAACTTATCTTGACCTTTTTAGTGAAACAGGACATGTTCTGACCTTTATTTTAGGGTAGTTCCATGTTTTATATTCATATTTAGAACGATGGAAAATACCTGCTTCTTTAGAGAAGGAGGGGAGCTGAGTTTCCTGTTTGCTACTGAATCAAACCAATCCCTGTTGGCCTCCACATATTCGTTTGTCAGCAAGAGTTTTCACTTTGGGGAAGCATGTTACTATACCATACTCTGTTTGAGACGTAATGATTTACTGACACAGAACCAAGACTGAGGAAACTCTTGTGATTATTGACATCTCTTTTGTGAGTCTAAATTTAAAATCATTGAAAGTGAAATGTGGAAGGAACCTTAAAACAAACTATTCGAAATCAGAAGAGTTGTTGGTGAACCTAGAATATTGGAGCTCAAAGACTTAAAAGTGTAGAATGTTATTTTGGGGAGGGATCTGGAAGGAAGCTTCAAGTTCATCTAGTCCCATCCCTTTATTTTATAAATGGATAATTGAAAGTCTGTAAGAGTTAAATAGCTGCCCAGTGACCACCTCTCTAGTGAGTAGCAGAGCCAAGATTTGAACCCAAATCTACCAACTCTAATTCCAGTGCTGTTTTCCTCATGCTACTTCTCTACATAGGAAGAAATGCGCAAAGAGAAACACTGACTTACTCCAGAGCATACAGTGATATGTAGAGAACTTAGATTGGAACACTAATTTTCTTGTTTTCATTTCAGTGTTCATAGTGCTGTCATATTAATCAATTAATCAGCAAGTACATATTATAAATTTATTATGTGCCAGGAACTCTGCTAAAAACTGGAGATACAAAGAAAAAGTAAAAACAGCTTCTGACCTCAATGAGCTTATATATTAGTGGATGAGGTAACATGTATATTATAATATGTAATATTAATATATTGTATATATATATGTATTGTATACATGTAAATATAACATGTATTGTATATATACATACATATATATGTATAATATACACATATATACATATATACATACACACACACTAAATGGAATATAACCATAGATGGGAGGCATCAGCACCTTTGGGAACCAGGAAAGAAGGTAAGAAGGAACCAGTCGAAGAAAGTAGTCCTTGAGCTGAATCCTAAAGGAAACCAAGAGGTGGGAATTAGGAGCAAAAGCATATTGGCCAGAGGTGAGGGGAAGGGGAGGTTTAATTTGGGGTAAAGATGGAAGTGAAGGGACAGCTAGTACAAAGTCACACAGATAAGACATGTAGAGTCATGTGAAAGGAAGAGCAAGTGGGCTAGTATGGCTAGACAATAGAATGCATGGAGGGTAATGTGTAAAGATAGTAAAAAGATGTTGTGAAGAGCTTTAAATGGCAGTCAAAAGAGCTTATATTTGATCTTTGGGATTATAAGTAGTCATTGAATGTTGTTGGGTTGCAGAGTTACATTATCAGAGATGTCATTTGGGAAAATAGCTTTGTGGATGATGGATTGGACTGAGGAGAGACTTGTAATGTGGATATTACTTAGGAAGCTATTATGACAATCCAGGCAAGAAACGATGAGGGCCTAAACTAGACAGTGGCTTTGTGAATGGAGAGATGGAGATGTATGTGAGAGACATTTTAGACAAAGAAACAGTAAGGTCTGGCAATTCATTGTGTACTTATGTCAGCTGATAGTAAAAAGCTGAGCATGACACTGAGGTTTTGAGCTCAGGTAATGGGAAGGATGGCATTGCTATTAACCATAAAAAGTAAGTTTGTGGAAGGTTGCTTTTTGGGGAGAAAGGTAATAATTTCTGTTTGGGACATCTTAAAAATCAGTCGACAAACATGTATTAAGCACCTAATATGTGAAAAGCAAATGTGTTAAGTTTTGGGGAAACAAAGAAATATAAGAAAGCAGTTTCTGCCTTCAAGGAACTCATATTCTAGAAGGGGAAAATATACACACAATATATGCACTGTGTACACACAAGCTATATGTATATGTATATGTATATGTATATGTATATGTATATGTATATGTATATGTATATGTATATGTATATGTATATGTATATGTATATGTATGCTGGATAAATTGTAGGTAATTCAGAGAGAAGGCACGAGCAATTGGAAGGACAGTGCTTTTTGTAGAAAGTAGGGTTTGAGCAAGGTCTTAAAGGGAAGAAGGGAGCAGAGATAAATAGGGAAAGCATTCCATGCATAAGGGTTTTGTTTTTCAGTCATTTTCATTGTATCTGACACATTTGAATTATATTGAACTATATATGGTAGATTTTGAACTTAGGTCCTCATGATTCCAAAATTCCATCCTCTATGTCATCTTTTATTAATTTGTGTTTTAATGTTTACAGTTCCTAGGACAGAACCTTGCACATAGTAGGTGCTAAGTAAATGTTTATTGAATTGAATATGAGGTATCTTGGGTTGACATATTGGCAAATAACTGTTGGACTCTTCCATCAATGCCAGCCACAATCCAATGCACAGTAACAGCAATACTACCTATAATACTTTCTGGTTTGAGCTATTGTTAAGATAACAAATAACTTTAATACAAAATATTACATGATAATTACATTACAGTCTTATAAAAGTGAATCTCTGCCATCCTGGTATCCTACATCTATTAGGTATCTCAATCCTCTGCATTTATAAATGCAGTTAATAGTAGATACTTTGAACCTTAATAATGATAATAATAGTTATCATTTATATAGTGCTTTAAGGTTTAGAAAGCACTTTACATAAGTCATCTCATTTGCTTCTCACAACAATGCTATGAAGTAAGTGCTATTATTATCCCTGTTTTGTGGGTGAGGAAACTGAGACTGGGAGAGTTTTAGTGACTTGCCCAGGGTCTTGCAGCTATTTAAGTGTCTGAGGTAGAATTTGAACTCAAGTCTTCCTAACTCCAACGCCAGCACTCTGTCCACTATGTTACCTAACTGCTCCCTCAGACCAAAGTAAATATACTTTTATACTATAGGTTCATCAGAGAAATGCAATCAGAATGTCCTGTGTTGGGGAAAAATTGTTACCCACTGGGGAGCATCAGAAATATTTTTTGGGAGCAGGTGACATTCACTTTGGGATTTAAAGAATGGATAGGAATTCAAAAAGGAAGAGAGAAAAGAGTCTAACAAGATGCACGGTCTTACATGATATAATAGAAGATGTACCGGCTATGGGAATTGGGCTATTTGGGTTTAAAACCTGTCTCTGTGATAATTATTTAGCAAGTCCCTTTTTCTCATCAACAAGAGGGCATAATAATACCTAACTACCCACTTAATGTGATTGTTACAAGGAGAGTGCTTCATAAACCTTAAAACAATATATTTACATGGGTTGCTATTACTGTTTTTATTGTTGCTGAATTATGATCTCTGTCAGAGGAGGTGGTGCCCCCACTGACAAAATCATGATTCTTTGAAGTATCTAAAGCATATAAGGTGAAGTATCTTTTTACTCTTTGCAAAATGGAGATTACTCTGAGGAAACTACTCTGGTACTTTGGTGTTTTCTTTAATCACAGATCAGTTCCCAAGTGTGAATCTTTAAATATATCTTAGTTTCCAAATAGGATCTCAGTTGACCCAAGGGTAAGGTTAAGACATGATTGGTAGCTCTTTTATTTCTTATTATTTAAATGAATGTTATGAATTAATAAAAGTAGAATGGGCTACCTTGAGAAATATTGTGTTCCTCTTCCTTTGACATTTTCAAGGAGAGACTTGAAAATCACTTTTTGTGTGTTTTATGAAGGGAATCCTTAATGGCATATAGGTTGGTCTAGATTGCCACTGAGGTCCCTTCTAACTCTCAAATTATCTTATTCTGTGAATGATCATAACAATTCATCATATTGTCTCATGCTGACCTGGACCAATTGGTTCAAGACATTTAGGGGAAATAACCCTACTGATTAGTTTTTTTTCTCTCCTTCTGTCCTTTCTTGCAGAATGGCAATTCAAGTAGACAAGTTCAACTTTGAGAGTTTCCCAGAGTCTCCTGCAGAAAGGACTCAATTTACGAACCCTAAACAACTTGAAGAGGAGAGGCAGGAAACCCGGGGTTTGGAGATCAACAGCAAGTTAGACATCCACTGGAATATCATATCCTTTGAGAGATGACAGAACAGAATGTTAATGAAAAATGCTTCAGCAGTTTACTTGGTAACTTAATACCAATTTTATGAGTGTTCGGGTTCTTGAAAGGGAGACGAAATAAGCTACTTAATTATAGATTCCTAACTATTGCTTATGCCATAAATAGCTCAGAAATGCCATAATGGGGAGGTCTGAATAAAATAGATGTTTTTTTTCTTTAAATCATAACACTTTTAAGGCTGCACATAATGAAATATTGATTAGGGCTTTTGGGGTTTTATGGTCTCTTTGATTTAGAGAAAAATAATTATTGCCAATTCTGATTTTAGCAATTTGTTGTCAAGGGGGTCCTGGTTCAGGTATGCCTGGAATTGGATTGCCTCTGAAGTCCTTTCCAATTCTGAAATTCTCTGATTCTATTAGTCACTCGTCTTCTCTGTGGTTTCAGGGAGGGAAGGCTGCATTGTAAAGGGGAACAAGCATTTGACCAAGACAAGAACCCTGCAACTAGTTATGTAACACTTGAAAAATTACTTAGGCTCTTTTGCCTTCAGTGACCTAATCTTTCAGACAAGGAGACTGGACTAGATAATCTCTAATGTCCCATCAGCCTTTGTTGATCTATTGACCTTGGGAATTTAAATCATTTAATCTCTTTAGTCCTTTAAGAGCCAACTATAACCCCCATGCAACAACTGAGAAATGAAGCTGTTAGTAGGTGAACGCATATATGAGAACAGATTTTAATGGTGAAGATTTGGCCATAATATGATAATAATTGTAAAAACTACATTTTAAAGTTTTAAAGTGTTTTATACATAATATCATTTGATTCCTCAAGTGGAGAAGGGAAGACTTAGGGAACATGATAACCGTCTTCAAGCATTTGAAGGCGTCTTTTGGAAGATTATTATTTTGCTTGATCTTAGATATCAAACTAGGATGTTGTAGAGAGCTTTTGGTTGGATATGAGGAAAAACCTTGCAAGAGTGAGAGCTGTTCACAAACAGAATGGTCTTCATCCCTAGAGATCTCCAGACAGGAGCTAGTTTAGCCCCTCTTCAGTAATATGGCAGAGGACCGTCTTTGCCAAGTATAGGTTAGATCAGAAGAACTCTAGGGGCCCTTTAAGCCCTGACATTCAGTGACTCAATGAATGTTAAGCCTGGGAAGGCCATCAAAGACCTTCTAGTCAAAATGCAGTGACATAGACTATGTAACAAAAGCACCAGGGCTCATGCGCCCTTCTCTGTGGGTGAGACTTGAAGACAGTATCTTTTGGAGGCAGCACACTTTGGGTACTGCTGCTGTTGCTCGTAAAATGTCTTGACTCCTTCTTGGGAATAAACCTTGTTGTTGATTTCAAGTCACAATAATAGGTCTCATTAAATTATAGTCACAATTTATTTTGTCATTATTGGCTTGGGAAGGGAGGGCGTGGGGAGAATGAAGACCTGGTTTAGTAATCTATTTAATTCACTAAGTTTGGCTTTACTGGACCAGGAATTATCAGTCTAAGTCCTACCACTGGCTTTTCCAAAAAGTTGTTACTCCATCTAGGCTCAGTTTCTTTCCCTTTTTAAGACTCAGTTTATCCATCTGTAAAACAAAGGATGTATGGAATGACTTCTAAAGGTCTTTTCTAGACCTTATCCTTGTAATTATTTTTCAGATGTCTTTTAACTCTTAAAAAAAATGCCATATGGAAAATAAACACTTATTAAGAGCTTACTATATACAATGCACCGTGAATGGTGCTGATGATGAAGAAATGTAACAATAATTGCTATTCTGAAGGAGCTTACAAGCTATGAAGTAAGATAAAGCATGCCCTTAGAACTATGTGATACATTTTCTGTTGGAGTGGTCCAAATGGAGTCATATGAAATATTTGAGAAAATAGATATTACTTTCAGCCGGGGATCATGAAAGACCTCATGGAGGAGGTGGACTTCAAGGAACTTAGCCTTGAAGGAAGTGTGGATGTGGCAAGGGAGAATGATGTGGAGGGGAGTTCAGGGGGCTGCTGGTGGCAGGAAACATCATTCTAAGCATATAGGAAAATATATGCAAAGACATGGAGTCAGGACAACATAGGATGAGATCACTGAATGGTTTGTAGTTCATTTTAATTAAAATATACAGTGAATAAAGGGGAGTGGTGAAAGAAAGATGGAAACAGATTTGAGCCAGGTTGTGAAGGGCCTTGAATTCTAGACTGAGGACTTTGTATTTTATTCCTGAGGCAATGAGGAATCCTTGAAGGTTTTTTTAGCAGGGCAGTGATGTGCAGCCCTGCGCATTAGATAACTGGCAGCTGTGTGACAGATAGCTTAGGAGGAAAAGACTAAAGATGGAAAGACCCATTAGGAGACTATTAGAGTAGTCCAAGCAAGAAGTAATATGGCTAGAACTGGGGTGGTAGTATTAAGATTTAAGAAAAGGGAATGGATAGAAGAAGTATTTTGGAGGCTGAACCAGTAGGATTTGGTAGTTGATTGGGTCTCAAGAATGAAATTCTAAACTCACAGAGAAATAATTCTGAAATGGAATGAGAAGGGATTGATCTGAAAAGATACAGGTAATACTTAAAAAGTTTTAAAAAATTTTAATTTTGTATTAAAAATTAAAAAATTAGAATGTTTATTTTAAAAATAATGTACAAAAGGTGACAGAGGATGCAGGTAGCAGAGAATGACTATAACACCATAGCATGGACTCATCCTATAAGAATAGTATGGGGATTACTGTAGTATTCCTACTAAGAATAGTAAGGAATACTAAAGCTCAGAATGAGCTGGCAAGGAAAGCTAAGGATAAGAAAAAGGGTTATTTTGTGATAAAAGAGGTGACAAAGTGTAGCCAGGAGGCATAGACAACTTTTCATAGATGTTTGATATCAAAGAGGAATTGGTGGGTGGGACCATAGTTTTAGGGATTGGCACAGTCAAGATCTGCAACCATTGAGGATATTTGGAAGACTCAATAATGTTCTTGATAGGTTCTTCCCAGAGAAGAGTCCAGACACAGTATAAACTGACAGAATTGATTGAATCAAGATATGACTTCAACATGGGTATTTCACAGAAGGTGTCCTTGGAAAAAGGTTCTGGTCTCTTTGTTTAAAAAATAGATAAAATTTTTTCATGGCTTCCTAACTACTCTTGAACTCCAAGGTCCCGTGTGATGGGCATTGTTGGTCTAGGTTGGTATAACACTTGCAAATGTCATGAGCCTACATACAGGATGAAACAATTTCTTTGAGGTGCAACACTCTTCATTCTGAACTCAGCTAACCCTGAGCTGAGGGGATCCAGTCAATCTCTTAGGAGCTTGTTGAAAACATGGAACATTTGCATTTAGATTGAAGTGTACCTGAAGTAGTTTCCAGGCATGCAGAGCTTGGGTTGGATTCATAGTATGCAATGGATTTACAGATATTTGTCCATTGCTAGCCAAAGAAACCAAAAAATAATAATGAGACCAGATCCATAGTCCTTTAAGGTTTACACAACACCTTCTTTACAAGAACACCGGGATGTTGGTAGTGTAGGTGTTTTTATCCCTATTTTACAAAGGGGGAAAGTGGGTCTTTTAAAAGTTAAATGGTCATATGTCATATGGTTATGCCATTGTCATATCCACTAAGAACAATACTAGCTAATTTTTACATGAGCATCATAGTTAGAGTGCTTTTGTTACAATAGCCCAGTGGGATAGATAGGTATAATGATTCCTGTTTCACTGATGTGAAAACTGAGGCATAGAGAAAGTGATTTGTTTGAAGTCACGTAGCTATCATGAATCACAGCAAGGAACTTGAATCCAGGACTCCTAACTTTAAGTGTAGTGTTCTTTCCATTATACCAGTTGTCCTTTTCTTCATGGTTATAAGTTCTGCCTTCTCTTTTTCTTCTTTTCCCTATAGTATCTAGTATAGGGATGAATACATGTTTCATGAAAATTCAATACTGTGAACAAGGGCCTTTGTTTTGTGCTAAGTGATTAGATAAAATGATCAATGAAATATGGTTTCTGCACAGTAAACAAGATAAGTCATGGGCACAAAGAGGGATTACATTTGTTCTCCTTGTCTCCTGAGGGTAACTCTAGGAGTGCAGATTTTATTAAATATCAGCAAGAACTTCTTACTGATTAGAGTTGTCTGAGATTGAATGGGTTCCCACAGAACAGTGAGCTTCCCTTTCTTGGAGGTCTTCAGATGAGCTGTCCATCAGTTGATGAAGAAGAGAGAAATAGTCTGTTAATAGAGAGGCAGTTTCTTATAGTGGTTAATGTTAGACTTGGAATCAGAAAGGCCTGGATTCAATTTTTCCTTCTTATACTTATAACTATGTGATGGGACAAGTCACTTAACCTCAGTGAATCTGTTTGCTCATCTGTAAAATGGGAATAATACCCAGTAATACCTATAGTATCAAGCTCATGAAGTTGCTACAAGACTTGAATGAGATAATGTGCATCAAGTATATTGAAAACTTGTAAAACGTTATATGCATACTTATATACATACATATATGTGTACATATATACATGCATGTATGTGTGTGTGTGTGTGTGTGTGTGTGTGTGACCACTGTGATTACGTGGTTACCATGACTTTTAAGAGTCTCTTTTAATGCTAAGATTCTATGATTCACGTAAGGAAAAAGAGAATATAATAAAAGTACAAAAGTGTATATGTGAGGGGAACAAAGTACTCTTCAAGTTCCTAAGACAGAGGGTGCATTTTTGACTTAGGGAAATCAGGAAAAACTTCCTGAAGCAGTTGGCACTTGAGTTGGTTCTTGAAGGTTGGTTAGAATTTCGGTAGGTCCAGATGGAATGAAAGAATGTTCTGAGTATAAGTGATTGACATAAGCAGTGGCCTAAGTATAGTACATATTCATGGAATAGTCAATACTGTAACTTGATTAAAGCATAAAGATGTGGAGAGGAGCAGGGACGGTTTGTCTAGATTGTGGAGAGCCTTTAATTCCAGATTG